TCCGTCAAAAGTGCTACCTATTAATATATGGACGTGGTGATAAAACCTCCTTCCAAAAGCATTTTCTGCCATACGTCTCTCACGACAGCCAGCCGCTCCTAAACTAGAGTGTTGCAATGGTAAGCGTCTTAACCAACAACACAATGCAAGGCGGTTCAGAGTGGAGTATTCAGGAGCTAAAGATCCCGTCGAAGTCAAACTCAATGAGCAGATGCCGTATCAAAAATGCTTCGTTCCAGTCGGCGCTCATCTGTAATTTACATGACGCGATAGGACCACTAGACCCCTGTGGAAGAAACAGAGGGCTAGGCGACAGCGATTCGTTCTAAAGCTCTGTTGTTAATGTAGCTCGAAGGACTAGTGTTCGCTGATCATAGTACTGGTCAAAGTGAGACTCTTTCTCCATAGAGTAACCAAATCGGGCGACGCACAACAGCTCATCAACGACGAGTTTATCTCGCATTTACACAAACCTTCAAAATGCACAAAAATGGAATACAATCAAGCCTGAATAATGACATTTTCAAAAAAAAACCCGAAAAAGTCCGAATTGAAAATCATGAGAATTGAAATAAACAAAAAAGATAATAGCGATATACAGCATAGTTAGCTAACAAGAACTAGTTTTACAACTAAGAAAAGTGACATCCAAAGGAGTTTTCGAACGGCTCTTCATATGCTGCTGGATGTCCGACACTGTGATCGGCGAAGAGCGCCGTGACCTTCTAGCTCGATGCCGTTTTCTGCTGTCCTGTTGTGCTGCTGTGTTTTGACGACTTGCCATACTTATTTCGTGGGGTCGAGAGGTACGTTGAAGTATTCGAAGATGACCTGAAAGTCGATCATTTGCATGGAACTTAAGTCTCACATAGAAAGACAACAAGTACCTCTCTGATAAAATTGGCTCTCGGTGCCCTTGAATTGAATTAGTTTTCTGTAATGATTGATGTCTTTTCTTTTGGAATTTTTGAAACAAGATAGCGGTTACATTAGGCAACTGCATAAAGGAGGCATAAACCAAAAACATGAGCCATGCACGACTGTACGCTATAAATGAAGCATAAACGCGGATCGCACAACAGCCCAATCGCAAATGGCGCTCACAGGGTAGAGTCAATCAATTCTTGTGTGCGCAAAGTCGAACGTATCCACAGCAATCGATTGACTCTGCCCCTGTGAGCGCCATCTGCGGTTGAGCAACTTGCCAAATATACCATTCCAGTTGAAGTCTGTATCGTCTCATCGACTTTTCACTCTATTGTGAAACGCTCCACGAGAATTCGCAGCCTATCGGCGGTACAAAATTCATAATCGCATTCCTCTCCGGTGATAGAATGGTCCTGTTCAAAATGGCCTAGGTTTATGATTTATTCTAGCCGTCCGACGGGCGCTTCTTATGACCGTACACGGAACAATTCAGGGAAACTTTTACGTCGTAGACAAACAAAACAATAACAAACAAAACAAAAGTAGCAAGAAAAAGGGATACGGAATGTTCAAACGATGAAAAAATGCTGGAAAGCTGACTATGGGGCGAGTCCTGCTGTGGAGAGGGCGAATGACGTCGCCGGCCGGGAGGGAGGGAGGGAGGGAGGTCCTTTCTCATGAGTAGGTCGAGAGTGGTCTACCGCTCTCATGATCGTTCTCAACCTTATATAGCACGCCTCTTGTGACCCCATACGGGTCCATCCGACAGTTTCATATCAACTATGGGTGTGTGTCAAGTCGTGCGTCCGAGGGCGCGCGCGGCAAATTGCGCGGAGAAGTTCGTGGCGAATCTGAACGACTGCGGCGCTTATCATTGGGGCCCAAATCTCAAGTAGGGTAAATTATTAAGGTCAGCTNGGACGCACGACTTGACCGTCCCCCATCAACTATTTGTGAAGGCACTGCTGCAGCCAACGACTCACTTATATTGTTTTGAATTCTGTTTTTCACAGCTAAAACAATCATATATGTGGATGTCCACGTGTCTCGTAAAATGTGTACATAGTTCGAGAAATCAAGTGGTTGGTGGAGGACTTTGGATACTTCTCAGAATATTCTACCTATTCCCCATGTACACAAAAATCAACCGTCATGAAATAGGTAATGGTGGAGTGCACCACTGAATAGCACGTACGAGAAGAACGGAGGCAAATTTATTACAAAAAAAAAGAAACAACAGAGCAAAAAACGCAGTGCAACTGCAAAAAAAATTACAAACAAAGGTCAGATGAAATCCTACAGATCGCTTAGCTTCGCGGGGTAGTCGAAGAGAAAGAATGCGCTCCTGCATTCCCCTGAGCACACTCACTGGTTCCCGTGTCATGTATTTACTACCAAACTCACTTGCCCCTAAGGGACACCTAGGGAGTGACTACCTAACTTCTGAGCCACCTTACTGATTGGAAATGTTCAGGCCACTCTCTGAGGTTGTCCAACAAAATTTGCGCGTACTCAAACGATCGGTCTTCGATCGTGCATTCCGGGTTGGCCTGTCGTCCTAGCTTCTCCAATGCGGCGCAGAATCTGGCTACTTCCTGATGCGGTCTCAACTTAAGATTACACAGTTCCGTGAGCGCCCTCATCCGACCTGCTGTTGAGTCATAGGATAAAAGCCCGGCCATTTCCCTTGTCACTGCATCGAGCCATTGCTCTTTCGTTATCCTTGGGAGAGCCGCGAATATGTTTTTTGCCCTCCCTGCCAAGTGGTCATCTCCTAATATTTCTATAAGGTTGCTTTGCATTTGATTACCTGCTGCTACTTCCTTTTACACCTCTCAGAAACTCCTCAGAACTTTCGCACTTAGTGCCTCCGAACACTCCGGGGTCACTACATGCCATCGGTCTTGGGTACGTTACTAATTGCTGAGAAATAGACGAACCTGCTTCTTCCAGCGCCGGTGTTGTCGAAGCTATCGATGTTGAATGTTGTCTCGAGCGATCTGCATATATCTTTCCGGCCGGAGGCATCTGTATCTACTTGATGTAAACTTCTTTACCCACACTACTTGCCTCGGCTATCCTACCTTGAACCTCCGTTGCTTCATCTTTGCGCCCGGCTGTTGCTTCATCTTTGCGCCCGGCTTCACGCTGAAGGCTCGCCACATTCCTTTTTACGTGCAATACATCTGTGTTGAGCATTTCACAAATGCCTGCTAATACTTTACCATCTCTTTCCATACTATTTATGTACTCGTGCCACCCTTCACATGACTCAGTACCTCTCTGAGTCAACATTTTGTTCACCTCCCTCTCCAGCTGATGGGAAATCCCTTTCTCGCTACTGTTGTCCGTCGTCCCCTTCAATCTCTTCCAGCGTCTTGAAGGTAGCCAAAAACTTTTTTTCGATTTCAGTTTTTTTTTTCCTTTGATACAAGAGACTCGCACAAAATCTCGCCTACTTTCTTTTGTAACCGCCCTACCAGGGCCACACACCGGTGCCTCACGTCTGATTTCCTTTTAGGCGAAAGTAACAGGCTCCTTCTCATCTCCGTAGGATCCGCATTTTCGGCCATTTCTGTACTAACACGATCCTCAACGGAGTGCGGACTCTGCCTGAGATTCATTTATTCTCCTTTTCTACTACACAGTGTCACCAACTCACGCAATTGTGGGTGCCCTTGAGCGGTTCTTGCTTTGCCACTTTGAGACCCAAAAAATCGGCTACCCTTGCTTTGCGGTAGTCTCGAGTGCCACACAAACGGTCGATACGACCAGTGCCCCACGAAATCGAAAAAAATCGCGATCCACTCCGATACACGCGAAAAAGAATCAACTAGATACGGATATTCGATGTCTGGCACGCCACGCAATCGAAGATCAATATTGGTTTCAATCGACACAGCGTCAATATATCTACACTCCAATCACTACCAAATCACGACTGGTTCTCCCCCCCACACGATTGGCCTTTGACTGCTTCGGAACGGCGATGTTGATGAGTTGTACGTTGATTGTAATAACTGTGAGAGGATATGCCTGAATTTGTTCTTTTTTCTATTGTTAGCATGCAACCTAGAAGTGGTGATGACAGATGTGCAGCTTTATGCTTTTTGCCTTTGCTCATTCGAATTTTGACAGCAATTGTAGCTACAGGCTGGCTGGCAGTGAGCCGCCACCCTTTTGTTCTCACAAGACGCTTTTAACCATCTAAGCCGCGTCTTCGTGGACCAGCAGTGCATTGTAGCGCCTCATTTCAATAGTTGCAGCAATCATATGCCGAAAATCGAGGTGAACGGGTAGCTGTTCAGTTACAGCATGCGGTTGTTGCAGAAACATAGAGATCACAGTAAAGTCTTTCTCTATATCGCGAGATATTCAACAAGAGAAGCACATAAAACAAAACTGCCTTATGGCGTCCACTTTCAGCCCTTTCATAGCGCCGAATGGTTTGCAAACATGCGCGAACTTTTAAAGTCCCAATTTTTTACCGTAATATTTAAATGGACGCTCTTCAATCTATTATGTCGCGTTTTTCCGCGACACTCGCCCGGCAAAAAAGAATGCAAGTTCCGCTGTTAGCTTTTTTTAGGGGACCGAGACGAGACGACAAACGTTGAGCCGCTCCAATCTTGATTTAGCCGTTGTTTGTCGTTTTTGGTGTAATTACAGACCATGTCTCCCACGTCTAAATTTGACGACAGTTTTTCGCTTTATCGCTTAAGAGGAGCTTTTTTTCTTTATTTTTTTCCTTCTCTTTTTCGTTTGCTGGTATTGCAATGATGAAATGATGGGTAGGGGGTATATTTGACGATGCGGTTTCGCTGGTTAGCTACTGCGATCGTCTGTTTAGGTAGTTACTTATAACGTTGTAGGTTTAAGACTATTTAACCGTGGTCTCCAATTATGTAAGCGCCGTGCGTTCTCGCATTTTTTGGCGCTTTCAGTGAGTTTTTGTCCGTCGTCGTTTTCGCCACTGATTTCCATTGGAATAATTGAGTTGATAGGCCTTTTAATCCTTCTTCCTTTCGCTGGAATCAGTTCCACTTCTCTAATTGTTCGCTCCATTGACAGTTTCAGGTCGTGATGCGTGCTAATTTCCATTCATTCCATGTTAGAATCGGATCGCTTGCTAGAACGACTGCTCTTTCTTGAGGAATGGTGGAATTAATCCGATTTTTGGATAATTGTGTTTTGTGCTGTTCTCGCAGGCGCTCAGGTATTGTTCTAGTCACACATCCCAGAACTGGTGTATCTGATGAAGGGTGGTAAGGCTTCCAGCGCTTGTCTTCAATTCCTACTAGGATTATGGTCAAGATCGTCTGGATCCGTCACGGCGACGTTTTCGAAGGGAAAGACGACACGTTCATCTTGTTTTGCAATTTCAATTCCTCAACCACCGTAGCAGTCATAGTGAAGCGCTTGAGGGAAAGAAATATTTTGGTTAGTCTGTCCCAAGGTCGTCGCTTGCTCAGTAAAAATATCGCAAAGCCCCTACAAAGCATTGTCACATGATCCGCGATGCCAACGGAGAGAGAAGATTGGAGTTCTGTGCAACAATGGTTGAAAACCACGAGGATTTCAGCGAATGCATACTTACAGGCGAAACAACAGTTAAGTTTGAGTGTCTGCAGGAACGTTCCCTTCCCTCGAATGTTCAAGTGTTCAGATGACGATCCTTAGTCGGCTGTGCTACCAAGCATTGCCTTTTGAAGAAGATAAATTCTTCCGCTCGAGAGCTGAGCACCCGGTTAAGATACACCAAAGGGGAGGAATCTCAAAGAGCGGGTCTACGGATCGCAATGTTTCTCGGAGATAACGTTATGGATAGTAAAAAGTGTTGCCAAATAATCGAGCGTTGTTATATGCTTTTCGCCACACATATTTGCAACGGTAAATTGTAATGTGTGAGGTTTCAAAATGTATTCTGAGAAAATTGGAACTTGTTAACGATACACTGCCCTTCCCATTCCGACATTGCTTAGGATTCGGAATACTGGTACAGGATAGTGCACTACCACATAAAAGTGCTTAAACAAGCGCTCGTATGAAGGCATTGGATATAAGGCTTTTGAATTAGCCTGCGGAACCAACGGGGTCTGAACTCTATTGAATTGGTATGGGGAAGCATGAAAAGTTTTGTGAGGTTAGCACGGCTTCATCTAGACCGAACTACAAAACATATGTTTTGAGAACATGACAACCCTCCTCGGAAAACCCTCGCAATGTGGAGGATTTGTGCAGCAGAGCAGTGCCAGAGTTTTGAAAACCTTCGACTCCTGCGGTGTGCTGTAACTACATTCTAGGGATGCAAAAGAAGCTCTACTGCGTCATAGCGATCAAAGGGATTCACATATATGAATGACAGTGAATGTGCTTCTGATGTTGTGATCCGATTAAATTTGGAATTATTAGCTAAAGTTTTTATAGAATGTTTTTATTTATTTCAACTCTCATGATTTTCACTTCGGACTTTTTCGGGTTTTTTTTGAAAATGTCATTACTCAGTCTTGACTGTATTCCATTTTTGTCCACTTGCATTTAGAAGTTTTGTGTCAATGCGAGATAAACTCGTCGTTGATGAGCTGTTCTGCTTCCCCGATTCGGTTGTTCTATGGAGAAAAAGGCTCACTTTAGGCAGTACTATGATCTGCGAACACTAGTCCTTCAAGCTAAATTCACACCAGAGCTTTGGAACGAAGCTTCGCAAGGCGCTTTCGGCTAGCCCTCCATTTCTTTGACGAGGGTATAGTGGTCCTATCGCGGCACGTAAATTACATATGAGCGCCGACTGGAACGAAGCATCTTCGATACGGTGCCTGTTCATTGAGTTTGACGATCTGACTTCGACGGGATCTTTAGCTCCTAGAATACTCCACTCTGAACCGCCTTGCATTGTGTTGTTGGTTGAGACGCTTACCATTGCAACACTCTAGTTTTGGAGCGGCTGGATGTCTGTGAGACGTATGGCAGAAAGTGCTTTTGAAAGGAGGTTTTATCACTGCGTCCATATATTAATAGGTAGCTCTTTTCACGGAGAATCTAACGGTATACGATTCTGTTGCAAAAAGATCAACGGACAGAGAAAAACATAATTTTGAGATTTTGGCGTGTCAAAGAGTGAAGTTTGGAGCCATATCAATGAAGAAAAGGCGTCTTTTGATAAGGTATACCATAACATCCTCGCAGAATACGGAGAGCAGTTTACGACACTAGAGGCATCACAAAAAGACATGTCGCCTTCAATTTACCATAACTGAAGGCGACATGTCTTCTTGTGATGAAGCGTGGTCTTCGTCTCTCTGCAGAAGGGTAGAACCAAATTCGAGCTCATCACGGGGCCGGACTCAGCAACGACGCATTGCCAGGCAATTCGACAGGACTCACTGCTTGCTTTGCTTTTGTCTCAATGATCCTGAAGCCTGCGACAACGGAGGTGTCAACGCAAGTTGTCCAGCAGAGCTAAACGAGAAATTCGGAGGAGAGCTTCGAACACCACCGGCAGTGTCAACTAGATCCGTGTAGACTTGAAACTCTCTGCGTCGAAAACGACCGTCTGGAGTCCTATAAAACGCAGCGGCAATATTTGTGAGAAGTTATGAGGAAGGCGCCACGCCTAACCGGCTCACACAAGATAGCTCGCTTTGATTTTGCTCGAAAAAATTTGAGCACGGGTTGAAAGCAGGTTCAGTAGTGAAGCTAGGCGTAGCTCGGGCACTGTAGAGCAATTTGATCTTCAGGTTATCTCGCCGACGAGAAGAAGTTCAACCCGGACGGACCCGATGGAGCGAGATATTATGATCTGAGGGATGATCGTAATTTGAGGAAGGACTCAGCGCAGTTCAGCAGGCGCAACCTCGGTGGTGGTTCGCTGATGGTGTGGGGAGCCTCTTACTGGGGTAGCGAGCTGAGGCTCGCATTTTTATCCTGTCACGTGGACTCACAAGAGTACAAGCAAGTTTTAGAATCTAAGTTATTGCCGTTTCTGAGCCGCAGGCAACGACAAAGGCTGGCCTTCCAACTGGACAATGCAAGAGCCATGCTAGCAAGTCAACAGCCGCATGGTTTCAGCAACAGAAAGTTGATGTTATGGAGTGGCTTGCGTGCAAACCTGATCGGAATCCAGTGGAGACCATTGGTAAATAATTCTGCGACAGATGTACCAGAAGCTGGCAGTTGCCCAAAATCGACGAACTGCGAAGGCGGTCATGGAGCCATGGAGAAACTCGACCCTTCAGTCCTCAGCAACTTAACAATGAGTATGCTGCATAGACTCAGGGAGCTCTCATTCAAGCACGGTGCACCAGTTGATTGTTGTTTTTCATGAAGTACCTTGTTGAGTTTGTGTAAATAAAGTGTATTTGAAGTGAGGGCGTATACGATGAAACGGTCGAAATTGGACAAAACCCTTATAAACATTTATTTGTAATTTTGAAAGTCTGAAAATCTATTTCCCGTTGTATACTAATGCAGCAAGTTCTCTCATGCATGCCTCTAATTTGAATAATTCCTCTAAGAATTGTTGAGATGAGATGTAGACGTATACCACTGAAACACACGTATCCAATCGATTCAGTCTCGAATCTTATCACCAACGTAAATTGGGATCCCAACTTTGTGTGAAGCTCGTTGGTCTGAGCTGCAAATGGTTCAACGAACAGTTCGCGATAGTTCTGACCTTTTCTATTGGAAAGGTCGAATTACTATGAAGGATATGGCATGGGAAGGGTTTTTGAAGGGGAATTCAGTTGTTGCTATTGCCTAAAGAGCATGTTAAGCAAACGAGGCTGAAAATTGCCTCTCGCTGTGGACATTTGCCACGACTAGCTGTATGAATTTGTAACATGGATGTCCCTCGCGATGGTAAGGATCTCGAATGCCGATGAAACTCGCCTGCCTTGGTGTGTGGACGTCGACAAATCCAGTCTTTGAGTCCCTATTGCGTCCCATGAGGCCGATGTTGATTCGATACCGCTGCATATGGCACACACATGGAAACCACAGGTATGCCTTAGCTTAAAATCAAAAAATCCTTTCTTCTCGCTCGCTGTGCCTTTGAGAGTTGGTCTGCGTCAAACGTGTCAGGTAATACCCTGAAGTTCCGAAACGCTTTTGAGAACGACGAACTTGTCGGAAAGTCAGGCGCAATGTATGCTCTACCACTGAAAAATTTTGCGCGGTGCAGAAGCATTGAAGATTTAGAACAGGGTCAGTATCGGAGATACCATACGGTAAAGGAACGCTAAGAAAGGATATGCTTACTCAAAATAACCAACATAACCTCTATTTTGTTCAATTACAAATTAGTAATTGTTCAGTGTTTTCACTGTCATCCTCACAAGATGTAAATATATGAGTGCCTGGCCGCAAAAAGTCACGTGGGTGCGATAAGGAGTTTGAAATGTCAAGCGAGCGCAATGAGGAAGCAGTTATGACATAGGAAGATTGGTGTGCGCTTCGTTGCGCGTGTCCGTCGAAAATAGGTCACGCCGCAGCCGTCGCACGCGGCGAGTCGAACCGCGATATTTGACAGACGTCGCAATTGTCACCGGGGCATACGCTTTGCGTTTGGTCCACGGCAGTCAGTTCAAGAAGAAGATCACACAGACAAATGCAAATCATTTGCTCCAATGACACTTGGTGGTACTGTAATGTCATCTCGAGACCTCAGTGCGATGCACCGCGCGCGAAGTGGGCGGGGCGACCTACTTTCGATGGACACGCGCAACGGACGTTCTCCGGAAGATTGCCGATACTGTTTATATCGATCCTCTAACAAATACGGATCATTGGACGTCATTGACTGGAGCATAGTTTCCCCTTTTTTGTCGAAGGATGAACCCTCATTTCGTTTTTTTTTTTAATCACAAGGTGATCAAACTGTGAGAATAGAGGAAGTAGGATAGGAAAGCTTCTGCACTGGCACATGTTGGCATCCGGCTTCATCAAACAATCGGCGGACTGTTTTCCATTACAAATGTGAATGCGGAATTTTTTACATTTAAATCCGGCAAAATTTTGATTATAAATGTTTTTGTTTAAAAATATTCTTGTGCCGTGTGAGGTTGTTAGGTGGAACAAATTATTAATTCAATGGCCTAACGTTTCGACGCTATCGTTTCTTCATAGGCCTAAAGTAACTCGAGATTATTTGCACACTATCCAAAAATCCCACCACCCCCTTTGGCGAATGTGACGACAAATTCAAATCAACAATTCGAATCTTAACTCATCAGGGTCCACCGCTCAAGCAGAAATAAAATCCGCTAAAACGTGTCGACACAATTTGTTAATTAGTGATTTTGTTAGTAACATAATTGGAAGAACCCTTGACTCTTGAGTGATCCATTCTTAGTGCGTGATTTCCAGTAATGAAACCCAAACAGAATTCTGAGTGAAGCAGTATCGTGTATACGGTGCATGAAAATTGCTCTTATATCCTCCTTGAGTAAGATCGTAGATAAGCGGTTGTGGACCTGTGATGCACGCGTGAGCGCGCGTAGCCCAACCGGTGCAAATAAAGAATAAAATGACTTCTCAGTGTCCGAAATGTTTCAAATAGCCATCTTTTGACCAAAGTCGCCAGATATCCAAGGTTCATTACTAGGTCTAACTACTAACTACTAATATCCACTTTTTAGGTCACCACTGATAATATAAAGTAAGCCTAATTGAATTGATGAATGCAAACCCGACTAATTCGGGCTCATACCAAAGGTCCCGAGGAAATAGGCCTTAACAAATCTTTATTAAGACATTATTTATCACAATCATACAGCTGTGTATCAATCAGAATGTTATGGAATAGAGATGTTGACGGATTCTACCAGTGCTGGAGTGTGCAGGAAAGAGATCTTCGTTTGATGACGTCATCTACGACCAGGTCCCGCAAAACTCATGAATTTGCTAGCCTAAATCACGGAGAATTACCAATTAGTCAATGGACGAGACATAAATCGGTTCGCAAGTTAATGCTGAATGGGAGCGGTTGTCAAGGTCCATACCTAGTGCACACAACTCTCAGAACTACTCAGCGCGTTATGTGGGCAGGATTTACAACGGGGCTAAATCTGTTCAGCTACTGTCACCCTAGACAGGAAGAGGTCTGTGCCCCAGATTGCCGAAGGATTATTCTTCTCATGAAGCGACAAATGCCACTGCATCAAAGTAAAAACGACATCGGAAGCAGCTTTGCACTTTTCAAAATTTAGCTGACTTTTTCTTCTGACCCTTCTTTTTCTTTTTTCGGGGAGTAAATTCATTTTCTTCACAAGTTTTCGAAAAAACGCTTGTCAGCATTACCGTCGGTTATTGCCCTGGGGAATGACTGTTAGGAAACACCTTCTCCTTCATCTCCCCCTATACACCAAAGGCGAGGAGTACCTGTTGCTTAGCCATAAGAATGTCGGAGAGATCACATCCTTGCGAAAGTCCTGCGTTGATTAAACACATGCGATTTCGCTTTGCCGGTCGTTCTAGAGCATACCTGAAAAGTACACAATGGTCAATTGATTGAAGGTGTTGGCAGCTGAGAGTCAGCCATAAACTCACTCCCAGTCGGCAATCCAGGTCGGGTCTCTGTCTTTGGATGGGTCGACGAGTACATCACCAAATTGAAACAATCGCGCTTCTATGACTGCAGCAAAGCAAACCAACACAAAGCACAACGATACAGTAGAGTTCATCTGGGGTACCTGTAATTGCTGATCCTCTGACGGAAATTATTATAACGGTCGCGAACACTGGCAGTACGTCATCAAAGGATTACGCTAGGAGTGCAGAATAGGCTACTTTATGAACAAAGAAGTTCCGTTCAGGAAAGGAATAATGAGGGTGAGAAAAGTACGGTATGTGAGAGGTAGTGCAGAGACATGAGCTTTAACATCCGAATGAATTTTGTCAAACGAGTCAATCTCAATGCAGTCAAAGAACAAATACGTTCAGGCTTATGGCAACTCGAATACCGGAACAGTTTGCAGCGCTTATGTTGAAAATTTTCCTTCCTGTTGATCCTTCTACTAGTCACGCACTTTCAACTAAAGATTTCAAAAATAGTAGCCTAAGTGAATACAAACGCTAATGGTACAGCTTTCATGGAACTAAGCCTCTCTCGCTTGAACACCTCTTTTATCCCACCAAGCCTCTATTTTGTAGTTGTATTTATATTATACACACTTCATGTTCAATAAATCTATATAAACATGGGGGGAGGTGGTGTAGTGGCAAGTAGCGAGCTATCGGATACGTACGTACAGTAACGGGTTCGAATCCCGGTAATTTTAATTATTTTTTTATTTATTTTCTTTATTTTTTATTATTATTTATTTTTTATTATTTTTATTATTATTTTTTATTTTATTTATTTTTTATTATTATTTATTTTTTATTTTTATTTTTTTTTATTTTTAATTATTTTTTTATTTTAATTGGTGCTAGTGTGGGAGGACTCGTGTGGGAGGATAAATGCATTGACTTGTACACCTGTTGGCTACCGCAAGCCAATGTATAGGCCACATACGCACTCCAGAAAACGTCAGTACGATCGCAAATGGAAGTCGATTGCGGGATGCATCTCAGAAACAGGCTCAAGGACATACTTTTAGTCATATTTATACTCTCCTTTATGTTTACATTCATATTCATGTTTATAATCATTTTTAGGTTTATCTTCGCGTTCCTATTCACATTCATGTTTAAGAAAACAAGCTTCTACAGATTTAGATGTAAGTTTAGCTCTACAAAGACACGATAAGCTTTTATGACTGGAATGAAGGCTAATTGTAAGGAAAGAAAATCTACGGTTTACTACAGAGCGCGAAGAGCTACTATGGAGGGAATGAGGGCTAACTGTGTGGGAAGAAAGTCTACGATTTATTATAAAAGCAAGATCCCCTTAATGATTTAATACAGAACGTAAGATCCCCCAAAGGAAGTTGGAAATGAAAGAATAACCGCCCTTTTAAAGAAAGAAAAATTGGATGGAGAGAGAACTAAAGTGTTTGCCAGAAGCTTCAGAGAAGCAAAAAAGGAAAAATGGGGAGGTTCTTTTGCGCTTTCCCATAAACCTAGCTTTTTGCACGTTCATGGGCTTATTCATGAATATTTAAGTTCAATAGGGATCAAATAGGCCTTATAAAGATTCACATACCAAAAAATCGTTTGAGAATTTTAAATCTTAACCGAGGACTCCTTGAGAACTTTTTCATGAAGCTTGATTTTGAAAGGTGGCAGAAAAGATCTAGCCGATTTAAGTCTTCTTCATTTATGTCCACACATCATTTTCGCTTTCAACTTATTTCCGTCCTTCTTCATACCTGACTGATTCGATTTGATGGCGCTAAAACAGGTAAGGAGAAGAAAGGTCTAATTCAGTGCCCAGAATCCTTGACTGCTTAGAAGATTATGTTTCTGTGGAGAGGCCTAGAATGGGAAACAGTTTTGGCAGAAACGACGTGCTCAGCATTTTTAAACATGCTATTGTGCCCCAGAACGAGTCTCAAGAAATCGGTGTGATCCAGGTAATCTGGCTACTATGCATGTCGCATACGAGCACAGAGGAGTTCATGATAATGGAAATTAGCTTGTATCTGGTCAAGCGTGGATGTAAAAATCGTAAAGTAAAGAGCACGCAGCTAGAACACACCAGAAATAAGGTTATGAAGGCTAAGTAATCGCGAAAGGTGAAGCACCGTTTCGCAGCATTCGGTTTTTTACCGCCAAGACTACCTATAATATTCAGGCAAATTCAGTACCCAAATAGAAAGGTCGAAGAATGATTGTAGTACGCGCTGCGACCTACACAATGTGAAGAAGCTTAACGCAAGTTTCTATCCCTCCCTAAAAGGGGCGACACCTAGTGCGATTCAGAACTACCGGGTCTTGCTAGAAGTACAAGAAATCGGGAACACAAACTTGAATACCGTATCTGTTTCATTCCCCTACACCACCAAGCATGTTCGGTTCCGTGGTAGTGTTGTGGAGTCAAAGAGACAACGGTATTCAGGCTTTCGAGAGGAGTACCTATCGTTACCGAGGATTCAGTTGAAAATGCCCCAAATTGCATTCAGATTACAGATACTTTTATTTTATTAATAAACAGAATTCTTTCTCTTCAAAAACGTAATTATGAGAAGAATGATTACTTTCTCAATTACCCTAGAAGGCTCATTGTTGCATATTCGAAGAAGTGTTATTCATCGAGCGCATGACCGGACATCAATCTCACCACGACGTCACTAGAATTTGAAATGAAACTTTGCATGGCATTTTCCTTTCGCGCCGTAGTTCACAATAATTTTGAGGTACACTTTTTAATTAGAGAATTGAAGTGTTAGCACGGAGTAGCACATGGGAGGCGAATAGAGCGAGGAGAAGTTTACGAGATTGTAACGACGAATAGAGTATTTGGACGAGACTTCAGTCATGTGCAATTGCGTAAAGAAGTGGCTTACAGTATTTCCACTACCACAAATTGCCTTGGGTCAGGGTCCCGGACGATGAACCGTTTGAACCTCCAACACATGTACTCTATTGTGAATGGTGCCGCCAGTACAAGCACGATGAGGCACAGCCGCATCCGGGTGTGGTCATCGGCACTGCCCTCCTCTGATCCCTTACTGCGACCCGTCCGCCCTTTTTCTGACCCGGCAACGCCTTATGTGGCATTTTTTAGGAATTTCACTTCGCCCCATCTTGGAAATCATTCTCTATTGTAGACAGCGTATTTCAAGCCTCACCACAATTTATATCCGATGCTGCATATCCTCGTCCACATTTTCTGAACAATAGATAGTGAATTACATGCAAAGCCGTCACAAAGACTGTAGGAAATTGGCTTAGCTATGCAAAGCTGATTTATGAGGTGCTAGAAGCAGGAAAAGGAGAAATAGGGCAGAAATTAACAACAAAATGAGGTTGAGCAGAATGAGGTTTCAAAATAGTGCTGTCTCCATAAAAATTAAACGATTCGCTCCATTCCTCACTGCCAGATCGAAAACTGAACACTCGGGATATGCGGATTCCACCCCTTTGAGTTTCTTTTTGCCAGACTTTGCTTCCACATCGCCTAACGGGCAAGCTTGAGAAATCTGAAGATGGAGATGGATGAAGAAGAGATGGACGGTAGGTATCTGTGCACTTTGAATTTCGAATGATCATGAATTGAAAATAAGTGGGTGCCTCGACCATTCCCACACATTTTTGATAGCACACCTTCCCCATTTCTTCAAAGGCTCACAGAAGGTTGGAATATTTGTTAACTTTTCCTGCGATAAGAGGAACTGGACGAGTTAGGGCGATGGTAGTGTAGTGGTAAGTGATCCCATTTACACACTCATGGTTACGGGTTCGGATCCCGGATCGATATCTGAATAGGCCAACCAAAACTCCCATCCTTCCGGGGTCTGTTAAACGGTACCAGACTTGTCTGGGAGGATAAATGCACTGACTTGTACATCGGCTGCCCACTGCAAGTCATTGTATAGTCCACATACACACTCACTTCCCCACTACGATTCTGAATGGAAGTCGAGCGTGGGGCGCATCCCTCAGACGGGAGATCAACGCCCAAAGAGTTCATTCCTCATCCTTTCATAGAAGAATTACAGCACAGCCCTCTCAATTCTAACCGAAAGCTGGATGCCTGTCTGCGAAGTTTTGCAGCCCGTCCGTTCAGGTTTTCCACCAGAGGGTAACTGCCTCTTCGGTCATTTTCCACGAGCTTTCCTTCTCCGATCCAGCCTGTTCCAATTTCATCAGCTTAACCTGGAATCACTGAAAGGAAAAGGGCAGTTCAAAATGTGGTTATATCAAAAGGTTGCTATTACTACCTCCCCTTTGCCACGATGGCACTGCGGGTGAGCGATTTCGTTCTTTAAAATTTCAAAGAGTGATATTTATAGCACCTTCCCTTGGATGGATGGAACTTGTATAGTTTGCCAAGAAAAAGTTTTTGAACTTTTTATCCCGTCACATGTCACATGAACGTAACCTAGCAATCAGTCAGGGGCTATTGTTGTTTAGCTGCATCACAACAACATTTCACGATGAACTAAACGGTGATGGAAAAGTTCGCGAATAAGCAAGTAGGTAGTCTGGCGCCGTTATTCTTGGCCCTATGTTAATTGGCCCTACTACAAATCTGTACCACCATTTCTTCTGAAGATACCAAAGAGGGAACTTAATGTCCCTTCTTTTTATACCTTAGGCACAGGCACTGACGGCGCTGTAGGAGTAGTGAAAAATCATGACGAAGAAAACAGCCGCTCTGCAGCAAAAATAGAATCAATTTTTTAGTAATCTGGTGTTGTTTTCGGCTTGTCATATGACGTCTGCCCTCAAATAAGGACGAATGTTATTGTTTTTGTCATGCAGTCAATATCTATCTAATCGGAGCGTTCGCTGCATTCGCTTGGCATATAGCAGAGCCCTGGATTTAAGTTGGATGGTCTTGACATGGTTGGCTACTCGTGGGCACTGCTACAATCCGGCTCGAATGGGGCGACGAACGACGTCTCGTGGTGCATTATGCCCCTAAAGTGAAGTGGTTCGATCTCCTGTCCTTTGTGAAAGGAGATTAAGGCTCGAGTTAGCTCAACTATTAGTTTGAGGAAAACAATACTAGGGTAGGGAATGTACCGGCTATGAACTCGTCCTTTTCACTCTGTTGCCGGATATTATCCTACTG